CCCCCCCCCCCCCCCCCCCCCTCCCTCCCCCCCCCCCCCCCCCCCCCCCCCCCCCCTTCCTCTTTCTTAGTCAATGGCCTCTGCTTTGTTTGTTTGACGTATGTATGTCCTGCGTATGTAAATATCTGATGTGATTGCAGTCTTTATCATCCCATATGGCTTGCCGCCATCTTGCTGCCACGTTCTCTGTGGTTCCGCTAATCACCGACTATCAGTAGGGCTTAGATGACAAGTTCTGCTCCGCGACTGAGCCCTACACTACGCTCACATCGTCGCTCTCTGGCTATCATGCGCTCTTGGATAGCGTGTAAGCTTTTGCGAAGCTGTAAATTCAATTTGGAGGGTGTCGAAAGTCGCACAATGCCGCCCATGTTTAGCCTGAATGCCACTACCGTATACGCGCAAAGTATTTTCCGATGAGCATGAGCCCTCGTCTCCGATTGTTTTCTTACAGATATCGTCAAAGTCAAGTACTTTCGAGGTCATTGTATTCGGTAATTAGTGGTGGAGCTTTGTGATCAGTGCTATATGCGACAGTTGCAGCCGTCGATCACAACTGCCGCCGTGGCAGGTCAGAATCACTACAATCCGCAACACATGTACTTCTCGTAATAAGTCTCGGAGCCCTCCCGATGGCCCTTATAATCTCTCGTGCACTGCGCAGTTATAGCTCATAGATGCACACCTACCGTGGCCACGAGAACCGGTGTAGCTGTGAATCGAAGTTCTAGTTTATACCGTATCCGCGCGTCGGGTAATTATTTGGGCAAATGGCTAACGCAACCCGAGTGATTCGTTGTTATTCCATTCGCGTCGGTTAAATGCTAATTATCTTCTCACTTGTTTCCATGCCGGTGTCGCAATGGCATTAGAGTCAGTGCGGGTGGATAGAGTGTGTGTTTCGCGGACGACCAGAGTCCCACGCCCAGCTCGTCCAATTTGGCACCGCAACTTGTGGAATTGAGCACAATTAGGGAAGCAATGAGTCCCCTACAAGACCCCAAGGAGCTACGCCAACGCAATGATGGTGGCATAGCATTGGCTTCCCTAGACATTTGCGATTAAATTGTTGCTGATCGAAATTACGAAAAAAGAACAGGTTAAAGCTGTGATACCATGAGATGTTGGGCATGGCCTTCACCCCCCGTGTGAGATCCCTTTCTCCAAGCAGAAACACCTGTTGTGCGTGTGGCACATAATATCTCACCGAGGCGCAAACACTGCTGTTCTTCTTCTCACTTGACAAGCAGCAGTCACCACGAGACTACCGTAGTTTTGCGGTTAAGGCCTTCTCCAGGATGAATACAACAATTGTCTCAATTCACAGCGTATACTGGCTGTTCGTGGCTTCGGCAGTTGTCCATTATTCCGATGATGCCCCTTGTGTCTCCTTCAGCGGAATCGGAAAACATCTTCTGTTTGGTGGTGATTGCGGGCTGCTTCCATAAGTGTGGACACATTTACGAGTCTGTAGATGCGGATGGCGGAAGAGCTGCGGGCGGCAATCGTGACGACATGTGTGTTTATGCGCTCGACCATGTGTCGCTTAGAGCTGCGTGTCTGATTATGGTCACCACGTCAAGTGCCACTGGAGGGCATCGTTATGATGTGCGGACGACAACCATCACGGCTATTGCATCATTAGATGATGTTTATCAACAGCACTAACGACGCCATCATGAGCACATGCTTTTCCTAAGAACAAGAATGGGCTGCTGCCTTACCCCATATTGGCATTTACAGCCCTTCATCCGGTTCTTCTCAACGAGTCCGATGACTACTTGGTTGCTCTGGTAGCTCCCCTGGCTGACTGCTCTGATGATTTGGGCGACGAAGAGATTGAAAAGTTGCCTCTAAGACTCCAGTACTATGAAGGAACTCGTGAGCCGTCGATTTCAACGCGACAAAAACTGATTGAAGCCCTCTACCAGGTAAGGGATACCTATTTCTGATTTATGCTCTTATCGTAATCACGCAGACTTTTCATTCAGTTGTGCTCCACGCGACATTCTCGTGAATATCTTCGCAAGAAAGGAGTTTATGCCATACTTCGAGAACTTGATCGAGCAACCGAAGACGTAAATGAGAAACCACAGCAAACAGGCTGGATTGGTGGCGTGAAGTTACTGGCGGCGCAACAGGACCACACTCTCCACGCTCTGATCGGAATATTAATTCGTCTTGAAGATGAAATGGCCGTGCATCCTGACATCGAAAGCCTACGATCACTTGAATAGATTTTCACAGATGCTCACTTCTGATCACTCTGTACCAATTGTTATCATTGCTATTATTTGTTATTGTTACCTTTTGATTTTGTGCGGTCCTCTCTTCATGGTGATGAACGCAGGCCGCTCAAGGGACAGTTACATCGGGAAGGTGCGAGTTTTCTGTGCGAAGCGCGTGCTTGCGCAGTGTTTCACTCGAAATCAGCTGTGCCGATCGATTAAGCGAAGAATCGTCGACACGGACCGCCACAGCTATTGCGCCCTGCTTCACACCATGCTCTCTGGTTATGTTCGGTGACGTTTATTTTCATGGCGAATAAATATATGAGTGAAACGTGCAGCTACTTCCCACAAGAGAAAAACGACGGCCACTCAGTTGTTCTCGTGCTCCTAAGCGGCATGGCGCGACTGAAGACCTATGAAAATAAGCTTCGGATTGGCGAAAAGAACATTTAGAAACCCGGGCACTAATTATCGCAACGTAAACAAAATCACCAACGCAATCAAATGATTAGAAAAGGTTTGGTAGTAAAAAAACAGGGGTAATCGTACTGAAAGCATTCAAGACACGATCCAGAAAAGGCACTTTCTAAGGAGAGCAATGCGACGTTTTACATTCAGAAGACGTCTGTCTGCAGCACTCAGTGGCAGCGTGTGAGACTCGGCTCGACTACCGTAGTCACCGCACCGCCACGGACCGACCCCCATTGTCATGCCCCGCCCTTCGGCCGACAGCCGCCAATCAGCGCCTGTGGGGCGTGGCAGAAGTTGAGGTGTCAATTTCGGCAGTTGCGCGTGTGAGATGCGAGCATGGCGTTCAACCCGTTCCTGAGTCGTCCTGATCTGGCACTTCTACCCTTTATGGGTCATCTACCTGCTCTACCAGGGGCTCCGGGATTCTTCCCTCGTCTGCCACCTGATTTACAGGATATGCGAACCCGAAACGATGACGACGGTGTCCAGGACGATCCACAGGTGGAGCTTGATGACAAGGAGCTCTGGAACTCGTTCAATTCGTGTGGCACTGAAATGGTGATTACCAAAAGTGGGAGGTAGATATTGATCTTCATTTATCACATGTAAGAGTTCTCGTGATTAACGACGTTCTTTTTCGCAATCGCTGAGGTTTCAGGCGTATATTCCCTGCTTTTCGTGTGAAAATCACTGGATTGGATAAAAAGAGCAAGTACATCTTTCTAATGGATTTGGTGCCTGCCGACGAATGCCGCTACAAGTTCAATAATAGCAGGTTTGTTTGTTGAGTTAGATTTTTATTTTCCATGTGTTTGAGCTCATTAGGTCCGTACTTCTGTCTATTCTTCCTGATTTGATAGTATTGACACCTTTTATGACAGGCCATTAATTTCTCGTCGCCTGCCGTCCGTGCTGCTATCTTTTACCACTTGAAAATTTGTTAGGTGTGCGAGGCGTGTGTTATCAAGCGCCTGTTTCGACCAAATGGTCGTAAAAATACGAAATCCTATTATTTGGCCCTTAATATTAAAGGCCAGGGGTCCAGATAAGTGTCCAATGGTGGTTGAATTTAGGTGGATGGTTGCTGGCAAGGCGGATCCTGAGATGCCGAAACGGATGTACATTCATCCGGATTCACCAGCCACTGGTGAGCATTGGATGGCCAAAGGGGCCAATTTCCACAAGTTGAAACTCACCAACAACATCTCGGATAAGCAGGGATACGTGAGTTTTTCCATAAATCTTTCCTAGCTCGTTTCTAAATTCGTTTCGATCTTTTTTCCGCGAATTATCGCCTGTCACTTGACTTCCTCAATTGGCATTTGTCGTCGCATTTTCTCGCTCCAGTCACTGCTTTCTAATTCCTATTAGTGCTGCTCACAAGTTGGTTCTGTCGATTACTTGTTTCACCTTCCCCACATCAATGTCAGTGAGGGAATCACTCCAAAGCCGTAGCGTTCCTCGTTTATGTCAAGTGTGGAAGTCGCCACGGCTACCGGAGCAAAAGCTTGCCGCGTTTTATTACGGCTAGCCATATTTCACCTCTCCTTTCCCTAATGGGCGTCGTTGCCTCGGTCCCCACCTGCCGTTGGTCTTGTGCTGTTGCTTCCCTTTTGTAATTTACGAAATTCACATTTGAAATTGATCCCTCACTTTGAAATCCATGGTCTTTCTGTCTGGGTGTCTCAGTGACTGAGAGACAACGATAATCGGTGCAATTTAACCGTCAATGAACGACTCCGCTCCCCGGCTCAACTCGCACCTCAAGGTGAATGCGCGTAATTATCCACACACACACACGCAACTGTTTATACAGACCTCATTGAATAGCAAGTCACAACCACACGGGCAGCCTCCTTAATTCCATGGATTTGATTTAAAACCTTTGTTCGGCTTTACAGAGGAATCGCATACAATTTCAGACCATCCTGAACTCGATGCACAAGTACCAACCAAGGCTGCACATAGTTCGATGCGCCGAGATCATGAACCTCCCCTACTCAACGTTTCGAACATTTGTTTTCAAAGAGACCGAGTTTATCGCCGTGACAGCCTATCAAAACGAAAAGGTTTGCTTTCACCACTGTATACTGTACCCTGAAACCCTGATACCTTGTCGACCAGTTATCAAATGCTGAGCTGTTAGTGATTAGATGTAGCAGCGTGCATTGTGTACACTTTAGATATCATAAGTGGTTAAGCTGATAATTTCGCTGTGGTTTGCGTTTCTCCCAATCAGGTACAGCTTAGCCACTGATACAGGAGGCAATTGATAAGGGTGCCGCTAAGAAAACATCAGCAACTTACTCAAACCTGGTACGAACTCTGAACGATTACAGGTTACGCAACTGAAGATTGACCACAATCCATTTGCGAAGGGATTTCGAGACGCTGGAGCGGGGAAGCGTGAGAAGAAGCGGCTGCTCCAGAATCATGCTCGAGAACAGTTATCGCCACGATCCTCTTCGGCACATCCATCCGAAGATGCATCCGAGGACGACGATCCAGCACCAAAGAAAGTTCGAGAGGAGCCACCACCAAAGACTTCCACACCCGTCTCCACCGCTGTAGCTCCTTCATGTCCGCCCCGATTGCCTTCACAAATGTTTCCCTTTGCTTTTCCTTCTGATATGTTCTACCCTACCCCGGATATGATTTCTCAGTGGCAGGCAGCGTTCTTACGGCCTCCTCTGATACCCGCCACTATTAGTTCAGCAACTGTGCCCTCAGCTCCTCGAAAAGGCGGATTCGATGTCTCTGATCTCTTGTCCAGACCATGACACCCCTTGTGTACATCCTAATATATTCTAATCTTGTCACGACGGGCTGCGGCTCCATCTGCCACGATGAACTCCAGACGACCAATCATTTTCTTTCACATATCGTCGCTCTCGGGGTTCATCGTGTCGTGTAAGCTGTTCTCCTTTACACGTTTGATCTTCTATGACATTTTCGGGCTGATTCAACTCTATATTTTACAATGATGATATATTTATACAGAAGATTAAGAATATATCAGATGCTCAGCTTTAGTTCTTCTTTTCCTTCTGTTCCTTTCCTCGTTTCATGCTGTTCAATTTATTTTCGTGACTTCGTTTGATCGCGTTCTTCTGCGATGATTCCTCGCCCTTGGCGAGTCCTTCCTCAAAGTCTGTGTTTATGTACAAATCATTCATTCCCAGTGATATAAATTTAATTATATATTTCTATTTTGTCTGTCAGTGAAGAACTGGTGTGGATTACGGTCGAGAGTGACACCAGAGACGAGTTATGGAGAGAGGCGTCAGCCCCCCGTCACATGAATGACTCATACCCTAACATACGCGCCACGCTCTCGCACCCTCAGTGACAATTATCCCTTTGGCCCACTACAGTATCCTACCCGGGCTCGGTACAGAATATGTGAAGCATTTGTGAGCGAGTGAAATATTTAGTGAATCATATTTACTAGTTCATTTACACACTTTGTACACCAACACATGCAACCTGCAACAAGCTCATGTAAGTATCGAAAAGAAGTCGTCCAGCGACAGCGGTCGGTAAAAATAAAGAACATAATCATAACAATGATGCTATGAACAAATCTTTCTCTATCAATCCGGCAAATAGGAAATCTTCTGGAACGATTCAGTCAGCGAGGATGCCGTTGAGGTGCGATGGGACATCGCAGGATCCGCTGCAAGTCTACGTACTGCTGATGCGACGTCCGCGTTCGCATCCCGAAGACTTTGGCTCTGTCGACGGAGGGCGTCCGGTACGGCACCGACAAGAGCCCATGCCTTCAACGAGTGACTCCTGCAGAACATCAAGAGCAGCACGTCGATGTCCGACGCTTCACAACATCCAAATTCTGCTCCGAACGCTGTCCTGAAAGCAAACAAATTTCGCGGTGGTGATGGAAGCTGTCTAGATTTCGGTGTCATTACAGTAATACAGAACAGGTGAGTACGCGAGGCGTCGGACTGTAGAGTGCCAGTTTGTCAACTAAGCGCACTGCACAATCCTCTTTTCTCCTGCGCGCACAAGTATCTCGCAAATAATGATCCGCGAATTTCAACAAGCGACGCGCTATGATCTCTCAGAGCTCGTAAGACGACGGGCGCGACAACTCCCCGTCAACAGACACCTCCCGGGGACCGAAAAAATGACATCGACGTTGCACTTGGAATATGGCGTGTTCCCCGGCGGGACGACATACGAATTTCCGAGGCTTTACCACTACTTGACCTCTTCGATCATCATCAACTCGACAAATATACTTCCTCCCGTGCACCATCCCGACCGGCCTCCCTTTATGATGGTAGGTAGCTGAGAGAACGCCTAATCGCTAGACAAATTTGCATATTAGCGTTCGATCAGTGACATGAGCGTTGATCAAATAGCACAACAGCAAAGTAAGCATCTGGTTATGGTACTAATGAGGTATACCTACCTTAGTTGTCTCAGGGCAAGTAACGCCTGTCCATAACGCTTGTTCGTCATGAGCAGTACCAGAGAGTCACCGGAATGCTCTGGCCGGAGCGACGGCTGTAAATCGTGAGGGGGCAGATCGGCCATGCATAGCAACAGTTCTCGTTGATGATCCAAGATTGCTGGAGAAAGCGTGTGTGCCTGAAAAGCTTGGGTTAGCACTCAAACAATAAACAAATAAACAAAAAGGAATAGATAAAAATGAGATCGCGGTTGCATAGTTTGAAGATCCAGATCGGTTTCCGTTCAATGGCCATTTACGACTAACTTTTGGGATTTCAAATTTGCACTGCTCAATGAAAGCCAGACAAAGTGCAATCGAAGTGCATTCATCCCCAGCACAGCGGTGAGCCCTCTTTGGACGATGAAGTTTGCCTTCGAATACGGTATGCCCTCAGCAGACTGTAGTGATGTCGGGAAGTATGCGCATACAAACGCTGTGACGACTGAAATTCAATCGGGTGGCGGTTCGAGCGCACCAAATACGGCAACATGTCGTCTGTGACAGGTGGACAAGCATTACAGGACAAACGACATCGCAGTCGTCACGCTCCCACATGCTCATAATCACAAACACTACCGCCTACAGGCACGGGCGTTCACCATATCGTTCACAAAGTTAGCCTTCCTGGTTGGGAATGTTCCCCACAGCCTATAAAACGGCATAATACCTTTGCCGTTAGAAATGTGACGAGATTACGGTAATGTAATTCATTCGTTGGAAATCAGAATGCGTCGCATGCGGCACAATGCTTACATTTACTGAGGGCGATTTAGCGGTGTACGCGTGAACTGAAGCAGAAAAGCTGCCTGAAAGCCACCTCATTAAGACAAAGAGCTCGACGCTTGAAGAAGTGAAAGGCTTTGCTGCAAGGTAGCCACACAAATCCGCACTGCTGCACTTAGAATGTAATGAAAAGTCACTGAAAACATTGTTTTCCCCAGTAAAATGTAATGGCGTTGCCGCCACAGCACCGAAGCAATTCTCGACGAAGATTTATTGGCGATCATGTACGGTAGCGATGATCGAACACAGCCCGACCCAGCGCGCACACTGTACGGCGGTCTATACCACATCGCTTTAAATGGGAATGTATACTTACTTGGGCACCGTGCGACTCGTTCACCAATCGTACCATATCGTTCAGCGAATCGCTCATCAGCATCAGTTGGAAGAACAACTTGCTGAGCAGTTTGCCCAGTTCCATCTCCTGCAATACCGAAAGAGTTTGCTTTGATGCTTAACAGTTGACTGGCCTCCAACCAGCCACCACCCAACCCACAGGTCAGATTCGCTGTCAGTGCGCGTGTCTAATCGTCTTCCGCTCTACGATAATCTGCGCGCAAATCGTCGTCTCCAGGCGTCTCAATCAACACATTAAGATAGAACTCATCAACTGGAACCGGTTCAAAAGGGATCAACGAGGAATTCCCTACAGAACCACAGCTTCAACACTACACGCACTGTACCAGAGCAACCACTTTCTCACTTTTCACTAGCATAAACGAGCGACTCCTCTCGTTCTCTCTTTAGGTTCCACCAGTTCTGTGGGAGATAGTAAACTCTACGATACACAAATGTACATTACGCCACCTTTCAATCAATCAGATAAAGTTAAAACACCTACACTGTTCGTCGTGAAAGCGGAAGGTGAACCAACAAGCGTGTTGAGTTTGTGCGCTGACTTCACCGAATTCAGTAGCTGAAAATAAAAGATCTAAGCAACCAACGAGTACATTTTTTCGTCATACAGTGATCCGCTATCGTTTGCTTGAACGGGCATAGCCCTGCTAGAGTGGCAAAGCTCTGGTGGTGTTGAATTTCGTCAATTTCCACGCCCTCCGGTCGGAAGACAGCAGCTAATTTGCAATCAGATGACTGCTGGGAAAACATCAACGGCAAACAATGACGGACGAAGACACTTCAGTTCGCAATTAATGAAGTGAACTTACGCAGTTAGTCTGTGAATTCAGATTCGCAAACTATGGTATGGTAGCGCATTAAACTTACCCGAATATTCTGTTCTTTCCTTTCATTGAATGTTTCCCAATGTTCACGAAGTTCAAATAATGACAGCTTCAATCGAGGGAGAATTCCAGAACATCGCAGCTAAAACTGTGGATGAGATCAAGAAACGTATACGTAGATATGAGCACTTACGTATTGAGCAGTAACGAAGAGGAATGGGCAGTCTGCCACCTCGCTGAGCACGTCTTGCGCATGGGCAAAGGTCCTCGCCAAAGGGCGAGATGAGAAGATGTGCATGGCGTCTCGCAGTAAGGACGATACTCGACCACAGCATGACTGGAAATCAATTGAGAACATAGGCCTGCTATGGTAGAAGGTGCGAGCGCTCAAGCAAACCTCTACGAACAGAGGGGAGAAATTGAAATCGGATACGGTGAAGGAGATTAGCCTAGAAGGCACGATCGGGTGACAACGTGACGAAAATAGCGCGCGCCATGAGATCTCAGCCACGAATGAGGGCTAAGCATTGGCAAACATTCTTGGCAAAGCATTGGGAAAGTAAGGGACGAATGTGTTATAGAATCTCAATCGACCTACCCTAAACAGCTGAGTGAAAAGCAGAGTAGCGTATGCAGTAAGGTCTCCTTCCGAGTCGTCTTGAAGCTCAGCTACCACAGAAATCCATGTGGCATCAACCTGCTCAGAACCTGATTCAGTCAATAGGGAATCAAGAAATCAGGAGTCAAAATTACCTTTCCATCAAGGTGATGCGGACATTGGATATACACAGGAGTAGTTGGAGTTGTTTTGGTGGAATAGAACTCCCCGACCGACGTTCGTGAGCGACAGCAGAAAGACGAGCTATCGATGGACTCTTCGTCGACTCCATTCAACCTATCACCAGTTCTAAACACAAAACAATAACATGAAAAACTGTTTGAAAGGAATCTTCCAACCTCTTTTCAACAGCATCCCTTGACACGGCAGACGAAGGGCTTATTCGATCCTGTATCGGCAAAACTCCTGTTGGCGGAGACTCATGGGTGAAGCCGTCTTCACCTTCTACTAATTGTTCGAGTTATAAGAACAGTTTCGTAAATTATGCACGATTTAGTTACCATTTTCCTCTTCGTCCACTTCAGACGGGCACGGTGTACGATCAGAAGAAGCTGATGTTCGAGAAAGGCGAGATGTAGACGCTCCTCCACCTTCCGAATTCGCTTGAGCACTTTCAGAGTCCTAGGAGCAAATAGAAAGCCTGTATATAAATGAGACAAACAACAACTGCAGCAGTCAACCTCGTCCTCATCGGCATCGGCGTCATCGTCGTGGACAGGATCATCGCCTCCGATCGATCTTGGCCGCATCGTCGATAACCATCCGAAACAACTATCAGTTGTTTCCGATACGCTGTCATGCTCGGCTTCCAAAAAGTCGAACTCCTACAAAAGAATTTGGTTTTCTCTGAGTTTGCCAAAGGCTTCGAGAGACCCTACCTTGAACACTCGTGGGAAAGAGTCAGTGATACTAGCACAGGGATCAGGCAAAGATGCCGTTGAGGCGACTTCCTTAATTAGTCGATAGATTGATTCAATCGGGTCTATAGATAAGCCTTTGAATTGAATATACCTGTGACGATGTGCAGATTCTTTCCGTAGAAGTAGCAGTGCTTCCAAGTTCACTTTGAGAAAAGACAACAGAAACAGCCGATGGTAAGCCCACTCGAAGTCCTGACGCTGATAGTAGCCCAACAAGGCGATCACGAACGCGTACCTGAGTTAGATGAATAAGCTCTTTTTTTTAAATCGACGCTTCAAAAGCTTCGGAACTCACGTGGGAGGGCACCGGCTTTTTAACGTTGCCGATGGTATTCGTGCTGTTAGATTCGGCACTTGAAATGTTTTTTCTCGGCGATGGCGGACTTAGCCCTGAGCCACATCCAGCTGAGACCAGGGAGAGCTCGAACTCGAATCCACATGAATTGTCGCCACTCTTAACAAATAATGATCCTATTCCCATACATAGTTCTCAGGACAGATATATCACCACTCGAAATATGACGAGGACTCGGGCGCTCAGCCCATAATCGCATGTACAGTACATATGTTTCTTTTCGAAGGCGGTTGGTTGAAAGGGTTGCGGAATTGTCGCGCAGAGAGGTCATTAACAATTTAACAACATTCTGTGACGAGGAGGGTCGGATTTCATGCCCCCGAACAGCGCCAGGTGTCGGGCACATTAAGCGCGTCGGCTGCGATGGACGACGCTATGTGCTGTGCCTGGACTGCCGAAGGAGATGCTATCTTCAAAGTAACTACTCTCATAAAGGGGTCGAACATACAGACTTAACGACGACCTCGCATCATCTCAGATCAGACGCAGTTATTATGTCGTCGCCGGCCATACCGATGAATGGACAGCCTACTTGGAGTCACCGCAACCTCCCTCTAAACGATTTTTCGTTTTTAACTGGGTAGTGACAGCACACGACATATGCCAGACGGTTCACGCTGCTGAAACCCTGTGCACACAGTCGTCAACGTATGGCGACAGACGTTACCACCACTGCCACAATAAAATTGAAAATTCCACAAAGAAGTGACGCCAACACATTTACAGACAGGGGAGGTGATCATCTTTTAGGAAACTAGACGTCTCCCTGAACTTCACCCATAAACACTCTGAACTAATGGGTTCGAACCCGCTAAAAGTGTTCAATATTCGTTTGTAATCCCTGTCTCCCGAGACCTTTACACCCTGAAACCCCTACAAGTAGCTCTATGATACAACCGTATAGAAAATTTTCAAAACGGGTTACCGCAGTATTCTCCCGTTCGGCATTCTGCCATTGTTCGACTACCACTTTGTAGACTCGTGCAGCTTCTCGCCAATTCACACCCTAGAATAAATCCTCATTACACACTCTGCTATGAATTCGTTTGGGGAAGAAACCCATGCAAAAGTGGACAACGGATAAAACTCACTTGTACATGTCGCGAAACGCTTCGTAAGACCTGAAATGAGCATAAATTCGTAATGTGCTATAGAAAATTCCGGAATATGCATATTCGAATCAAGTGGTTGAAAGTTTTCTATATAGTCAACTTATTCCTTAAAAAAAAAAGTAAAAAAGGTTCGAGTCAGACAGAGACTTGGTCTTTTTATTTAAACCTTTCCGCTTTATTGATCAGTCAAGATTGTTACATCTCTACCCTTTACGATGTAAGGAGTACCCTAAAAAACAGCAAGCTTAAACATCAGCTGGAAGGAAACTCTCTGCTGACCCGCAGCATAACCGTCTTTGATGAGCTCCATGGACCGTCATGTGCGAGGGCGAGGGCGCATTTCCAAGAGGCGACGACTCCCGGGAACGGATGGTTCGTTTTGAGTAGAAGATTTCCTTGTACATTAAGAACACCTGAGACTCCATGAAATCACCGTCATTGTGGCTGTTTAAGCATAATTTGGCTCCTCTCCCCCACACTATGAATAAGAATCAAACATTTAGGAGTTTATCTATGAACGAATTTACCATGTGCGATACTCACCCCATCATTGCGGTTTAGACAACCACTAACATATCTTCTCCCCCTTCTTCATCAACATCTTCCTCTTCTTCGATGGACTTACTACGGATACTCCTATATTTCAAAATTTTTTTGTTCTAAGGTCCCACCGCTGGTCGCCTGGATGAAGAGCGGATATGGCGCAGATGGGGGTGACCGACTGGGTGTGCGATTAGCGAACGAGCGCGACGATTCGCTGGTGAGGCCGCGCCTGCGAACAATATGGTGCGCGCCTATCAAAATGTCGTAAACTATGCAAAAAGGCTTTCCCGGCAATCATTAGATGAACATGCGGGCTCATAAACGAGTTCATGCCGGTTATAGTAGTGCGAGGGGTGAGACCCCGCTGAAGAGGGGACCGACAGGAAAACGATTGGGGTGATTAGATGACTACGTTACTTAGCCTGTTTGCCCTCAACACAAGGATACTCAGTCCGCTCACATACATCTGTAATAATGTTTTATGGGTAGGCCAGTGTTCCTACGACAAACCAGCTGACAGGGGCAGTGGCCGTTTAGATGCACAAATGTTGTGCCAGAAACGCGAATAAACCGCGAGTTACGATCGCTTTCACGCTGAGCGGCTGTCTCCATCGTCTGGCCTCGTTGAGTGTGAGGAGCTGACACGGGGGAACAGTCTTCGTGTGATGCGCAGCACGTCGCGAGCAATTTCTGCCGCTCTAACGCCAGCGATTATCGTAATTCCTTGATTGCCACAATACGCTCGGCTGAAAGCGGCTGCGCAACAAGTCACAGCAGCAGCAGAGGATTACGGTGCGAGTTACCACCGCCCACTGCGTGAATGAACGGCATCTCAAAAGGGCAGGTGCACCCCCAACAAAGATTACCAGCGCTTGATTGCGAACTGGATGAAGACTTCATGCAAGCCCGGGATCTTTTAGAAACTTCTGAACCAACCTGTGCATTTATTACCAACGGCGATGTGACCGCATCTCTTCTTAACAGCAAAAGATATAGCATGTGCAGTACGTACACATGCATCGATGCCGTTCCTTTCTCCAGCATCTGAAAAATCGCTTTATCAATGACTCAAATGTAGGCAAAAGTCTTCGGTAAACACTCCTAAAGATTTTTTTNTTTTTTTGAGCCTTAACCCTTTCACAACTCATTGATCCTCGTCTATTTGGGGGCATGGGTTGGCAGCTCGAGTTTCTTCAGGCCTCACCAAGAGAGAGTAGTAAATGGAGAAAGCCAGTCGAGCGTTTGGTCCAAAACCAGACGTTATGTGTTATAGACCCTCTAAACGGCATGTCGTGCGGGCAAGCTTTCATATTTCAAAGCGTGATGTTCAATATTTTTATTAAGGGAATAACATGAATTTTGGAAGTTACGCAGTCGAAGAGGCAGCAACTCATTGATTCCCTTCTGTGGAGTAGGATTGCAGAGGTCCAAAATCCTAACCGATTCATTACCCAGAACCCGTCTCTCATCTTTCTTGATTGAAGGACCACAACAGCCTTTTCCCTTTCCTGTTGTCTGGGAACGTCTTCATTTTCTCAGAGACCAGGGAGCACCATTTCTCAACAACGAAACAGGCACATTGCGTGCTACGGAAACGCGTGTCGCGAATAGCACAGCTTCGTTTTACGGCAATTCTGCTGCTACAAAATCACCACATGCTCTTTCCTTCAACAGCTCAAACGAAAAAGGGTAAAGGGGCCACAATGGAGTATGCTCATCGATGTTCCCACAATCACTACACTGCTCTAGTAGATAGCATCTTTACTCTTGTGGGAGCACCGCCAATTTGCACCTACACAGCACCGGAAAATAGATAACACGACAGATGATTTGCACTAATCTGAGCCCTACATCTGAATCTCTCCTACAGTCTCTACGGGAAAGTCTAGAACAGTCGAAGAAAGGAGGGAACATTGGTGCTATTCTTGCCACCAAAACTCATACATCATTTACAACTTGTCGACGGCGTCAATGGGAACGGAAGTGTCGCTGCCGCTATGAAGCCAATCCGACAAATGACGCCGGAAAATCCTCCATCAAATATGGGCTCCCGCTTGCTAACTGCCTGTCTACTGCGTAAAACATTAGCATGAGGAGAGGAGTCAAAACAGCCAGGATAACGAGTTCGTCAGCGATAGGTCTGCATTATCAAGTTGTATGAGCTTGGTTACTTCCAGTAGGGAGCGAGTAACTATTCCTAGCCACTTAATGTAGTAATGGCACAATCATTCCGCATGCCACTCACAATTACGGTTGCGCAAGACGTGCGCGGTGTGATGCCTATTCGAACTTTCAGCCTTATCTTCACATCGCATCAGCTGCGATTCGTCAAGTCTGAACGTACACACAATGACAACAGCATTAATTATGTGCATCGCGTCACCGCTAGTATCAACAGATCGGAGCAGGGGGGGAACGTCCGATTACAAGGCACTTCCAAGAAACCTGTACGGATATGAGATCCCATAGGAACAGAGACCTGATCGACTTACCTCGGCTAGTAATACGATCATTTGCTGTACAACAGTCAAATCGATCGCTTCGCATAGATACTGTAACACACACTTTGCCCACTGATAGCGATCCTTCAGGAACGTTTTCGTGCTGTACTGTGATAACATCTGAAATCGAACAGGTGAGAACTCAAACAACCATAGTTACAGTGTCTTCCACAGAAAAACTATTCATACTGTAGCCAGATTATTCAATGGATGATCTGCTTGCAAACCATCAGCATTCTTCACTGCCTCACCGCAGTACTGAAAAGTCATCAAATTAAAAGTAATTTAAAATAAAAGTAAAAGTATTTAAAATTACCTGCTTCAGAACAGCGCATACAGACAAACACAAGTGGTTCGGTGCGTCGAAATTGAACAATAGGTAAGGAAGTACATGACAGACCACAAGACCTAAAGAGTCCCGACCACCTACAACTGGCTCATCGAGTACGTCGATGATTCGTATCAGCGCCTGAATCGAAGGTTCGTAAGCCGAGTTGACGATTGTTCCTGAAATGGCTCTTATGAACATCTTCCCAAGTAAACGACCTTCAGAAGATTTTCATAGGTAGTTGCTCTCGAGTTTGATACAGTCGCCTCAAGTATCCTGCTAGTCAATTCCCAACTGGTCAACCAAAGAAGATGCCTATGTCGTCACAACCTGGGGTCCAAAGAACCGATGGAGACCTTTTATCGTGTTTGGAAATCAATTCCACTTTAGGAATGAGGAACTCCATTCGCTAAAAAGGTCAGAGGAAACGAAAGAGAAAGAAGAAAAAGTTTGAATGGATTAAAAGCATGATCAACGCCCAACCAGTGTATGAAGCCTCAACTCGTGAAGGGGATAGTTAAGAAAAGCATGGCGTATCCAGAAAAGAAAAGATACGGGTTATATAATCTACTGTAGGAGTTAGCAGCCCCTATCCCAGACCATATCAAAATCAGCTCCAAAAAAACCACCATCGCGTTTGCTAAGCGAACTTTTCCCGGCAGGTCTATACCTTTACATCATTACTATATTTAGAGGGATTTGGAAATTTGTAATCACATTTTGGGTGCATAGTATTGCTTCAATGCTCAAATTTCGGAAAATGACTTTCGACACTAAACTGCTTTGGAATTCGAAGTATTCCCAGGAAATCTTCTCAGTTTCTCAAACAGACTACGGACGTGATGATGACTCTCAGAGAAAACTGAACAGCGCATTAGTGACTGAAGGTAATGTTGTCTGCCAAACGAACCATAAAATTCGTCGATGAAGGCCGCGAGCAAAACATCACCACGATAATCTAATTGAAGTGTTGTAGATGTAATCAAACCGACAGCCAAGCACACTTACGAGACATGCCTCGAAACAGGAAAGTGGGGGTGGGAACGTTGAGAGAGAAAGAAACAACGAAGAATCCTCTTCAGAGTGAAATTTTCAGATATCAACGGAATGTTTTGAATTGTGATTACAACTAGATTGCTTAAATTAATTAGGAACGCAGGGATGACGAGAGTACCACCTAAGTTGCATTGTAACTTGTCAGTAATCAATCTTGGAGCGCGGCGCAATCTATACAACGACATCTAATCGGTTAACAATCTTTTACTCAAGTTAATAAATCAAAGTCGGTTGTCAGCGAGGTTAAATTTACAGCTGCAGAAACGCCGCGTGAGGCGAACTCTCACCTGGGAATTCCTAGATTGCAAAATAAGTTCCCAGGTGATGTATGTACGTATATTACCATGTTACTGCTATAAATCGGGAGTCGGGACACGCAAAAGCGGAGGATAGCCTACTGTGAGCCAGCTTGGAATAGAATACCTCACCTCTCGAAAGAAGACCGACAATGCTATTGAACCCTTTCCAATCCAGTTGTGTAATCGTTTTCTCCAACTTTTGCAGACATCGTGTTTTATGTGGTCCCGACGTATCAAGGATCTGAAGAAATCTACACGAATGCAAGCACATCCTACAGCATTTATAGTACTCAAACTTTCAGGCTTGTCTTCACCCCCACTCGACCGCTGACATTCTGACAATTGCAAATTTCGAACGTATTTTCTGCTTGATAGAAAGACTTCTTTGAAAGTCCCACAGGTAGTCCTATAGTGAACCCACCGAATTTTCCGGTCATGTTCCCTAGACCTTTCCTTAGCGCTCCCAGACAGTACCTCCAAGTGGTATTATGCATTTTTGTGCTGCTCTACTCGCCCTCAACTCAGCGCTGCGAAGATTAACATTCACAGATTTATGTTTAAAATCCGTCTTGTTGTTGGTCTTACGAGAATCGAATAATACCCTCAGTAAGAACATTCACAACGAAGAAAGACCAGAGCCGGGCTCCAAGGTGACCAGGAATGTTAAAAGCCCCGATCAACCGTGAACAGCCCCTCCCTTGCAAATTACAGTACTTGTAAGGTAGTTATCGATAAGTGGCTGCCCGAAAAGTTGCATGAGTGGGACATCCAAAGGAAATCAAATACCGGTAGTTTTAAACTGTAATTCGGATTCGCTTTCAACAGCGATCCACCTGCATGTCTGAAAATAACTTGTCCAACTTCTAAAGGGCACATAACGCGGCTGGTGTGTTTTGCCAATTAATCGTGACCGTCGTGCGACCTTCCTGATGACAGGCTGAGAAGTGTTCACTATGACTCGCACCTATGACACAGACTGCGGCGACTCAACGATCCCCAATTTACTCGCAGTCACCACTGCTCGCTCATGTCCGTCCCTTCAAAAGCGGATATGCGGCAGTGCGCGCGCTCGTAAATCATAACCATGCACCCGGTGCCATGACAAGCCGCTCAGCTACTCGATCGCCGCCACCGCATGCATTCGTATGGCCTCGTTTGACCACCGGTAAACCGGGGACCGTCCGATACCACCACTTTTGAACCATCTTTACATTACCTTATCCAACAGATTGACTGACAGCAGGAACTCATTATCTACTCCACTCTCCAGTAATGCGACAGCGATAGCACAAATTTGCATTCGAGCTGTAGCTTCCTAAAAACCAACTACCTTTTTAACACTCAATAATTGAGCAGTAACTAATAATAGTTAATAATAATATATCATTAGTCATAATACTTTTCCCTCTAGATCTATAGTGATCAAGTTTGGAGGGCATGAGGGTGGCACACTAGGTATACTGACGGTAGATAGAAGACAAGATGTGATTACAGCTGGTAGAGGCTGATAAGAGGGCATTGAAGTCTTGGCATCACTTGGTAGGTGATGGGTACGGAGAAATCGAAAATGGTTGATGACAGAATACATATTAGGTAATATTGGACTGAAGAAGGCAAAAGCTGTAGAATATGGGGCGTTCTTCAGTATAGAGAAGTCCAGGCTGTTTACTGGTTAGTAGTGATGTGAAGTGTCATGAGACCGTTAATGTTCAGTTCAAGAAACTGATGGGGGACCAAATAAGGTGCGAGTAACAGGATCGGCTACGCTTTTCGCTTTTTCAGGGGTGTCATGGCATTTTGGGAGGCTATCTAGGTTGATGACCAGATTTTCGATGATAGAAATTTATTTAAACTGATAAGGCCGGTATAAGTTACAAATGGCAAAACCACTGAATCCCCTGCTCTTTGTCATAGCAGTAAGGCCTTCATTCCTAGGCGTGTGATTGAGTTCCGGTGTTATTGAAGATAGCCGATGACTAGATCTGATGACAAATGATAAGAGATGATAAAGGGTAGCAGGAGTCGAGATCCATTCAACTTCACTCCCTTTAACAGCGGAGCTTTGACACATTGTCACTTGAGGAATAAAGAGATAATCGATCATTGGTGATAGAGAATGATAAAATCAGGTAGAGCCGAAAATTATTGGAAGTACATTATAGCTTCCGTCAAAGACCTTCGCATTTTGCTCTTCTACGGCGCTTCATTCATTTGGGGCAGGGCTAGATCGCAGACAGTAGACAGTAACAATAGACGAAAAGATAACATGGGTGAAGGCTGATAAAGGGTCTACAACTGTGGAGCTCATGTTCGCATAACGAATAAACTTAGGTATTACCAGTGTTTTACGCGAAGGCTGACAGGAAATGATTACAACATTGATAAGGTGTCATAAAAGCCGACACAGTATGAGAATTCAGGAAAATGATCTCATACTTTATCCTAAATACGACCATGAAACATCGAAGTTGGGGACCTAATGAAGGACATGCTCTACCTTTATTACGTTATCAGTTCCAAATGAACCCGTCTAGAGAAATCTTTGGGAACAGACGATTACCCATGAAAATAACAAGGATCATAAGCAGTGATCACTTCATCAATCACGTGGTTGTTCTATTGACTTTGTGGTATAGTTCACTGCTCTTCTTTCGCTACACTATGCGATGCGAACCCACAAGATCAGGAAATTTCCATGCTCGGACCCGCACTTGAGCTCTCCGGTCCGGGTAACATGCTCTTTATCCCTTACTTAACATATTACAATTGTTATTATTCTTCAGCAATAGTATTAGACACCATACAAGGGATTGGTTGGCTTAGCAGATTGCTAAAAAGGAGGTCCTGTGTCAGTAGATTCACTAGAAAATGGAATTTCGTGAACTGTTGAAAAAGAGTATAGATTTATAAACTTTGAAAGAGCCGTCCGTGCAGATCACCTCATCTCCTTCCGCATCACTTTTCAGCTGATCTGCGCTCTTGCTTCTCATCAATGCAGCTCCCAACCTGGACTCTTCTTCAGACAAGAGCAACGATAAGCGCACATCTAAAAAGCTTTCACAAACTGAGGGCCTAACTAACGTTTATCCTGCAAAGATTCACCTTTTCTTTCCTGATGCAACCGCTGGTTAATGACGGATTGCCGCAAAAGAGCTGGTGTATATGAGGTAGATCGGGCATGAGTTGGTGACGCCGATGGGAGTAGAGGCGGTTCAAGAATCTTAATGGAATTTTAGCTTGGAACAGATTGTGATTAAAGGACGTCTCCCTCACCGGATTCAGGTGTGGTGCACTGCTGAGAAGGCACAAAAGAAGATCAGTCACATAGGCTTGTGTGTCTTCATGAGTTTCACCTGCAGTCTCCACCAGTCTGCTGATTAATGAAGGAATCCATGCACCTGGTGGCTGACATAACGACGAAACTATCTGGAAATTTTGAAAGCGTAGTGATTGAAAAAAGGAAGGGCACTGAAAGTAAGGGAGAACGCGGAGATCTGAGTTAGGACCACAGAAACTCATTTTGGGAAGCACGATGGGAGTTGAAGTGCTTCTGTATTGTCTTCTGCTGGATCTTTCAAGACTAAGAAAGTATGGCCGCAGAACTTGGAAAAGCTTAATTCCACATGACGTTTTGAACCAAAATGCACTAAAGAGTATACACGCATTATTAGGCTTCTAAACCATCCGGCAGGTGCGGCACTTTTGGTGCATCCAGCAAGCAGCGTTTAGCATTCTCGAAGACAGATCCCATATCTGGTTGTATTGGTAACTACCTACCAATTTTCTATCATACTTTGACATCAACTTTGTTAGACTTCACTTACTAAGCCTACCATTAGTGTAAAACTATGAAGGATAAAATTTTAGGGCGTTAATCAATCCCGTTTGAGGATGCATCCCCGCATCCGACTTCCATTAAAATTTGTGATGGCGTACTGAATGCGTACTTGGTCTTTACAATGATTTGCAACGCCCAGCCAATGTGCAAGTCAGTGCTTTTGACCTTCCAGACGAGCGTGGCCAAGTTACCAACCCGGTAGCGATAGAGGGCTTGGTCGTCATGGGCGGATCTAGATCCTAGATTTTAACCAGTGACTATGTGTGTGGGATAGTGCGCCACTCATTACTACACCACCTCCGCTCTACCGTTAGTAAACAATCTGGCAAGAGCACGGATTTGTTCGTCGGAAATATAACTCGTTTCAAACTATCCTCAGTTATTCCTATCAGGTGCCAAAAAAGCCAATGGGATACTGATAAGAAAACTATGATTAATGGATTGAAGCCTTCTCAAGTGCGAAAACTGTTCTGATTCAATTCTAGACTGAGGACCTGAAAACATCTTCCTGCTGCATGACGCTGGCTAGTAGTAAGTGCCATGCGCATTGCTAACTGAGTCCACACCACCGGTAGGAGCGGGATAGACGGAAGAACCAGCTCAGCGAGATGACGAACCTAAATAACATAGAACGGATTGTAAAACCCATGTTGACTGGCAAAGTTCTAAGAAGAAGTTGCCTTACATAGCGAGACATATGCCAGTGAACTTGTTCTCCAAAGATGTTTCAGAATCTTCCTTTTTTTCAAAAACTTGTTTTGCTTGAAGTATTTCCGAAATCAGAATTTTAGGTCGAGTATTCCAGCAAGTATAACTCATTTCCGTACGACCACCCTGTTTCGGGGACTACATGTTCACAGTTTAGTTAGGCTTCTGAAACTATATGGTCGCAGCAAGCTACAACTTCCATCACATGAACACTTCAGAACAGATCGTTCTGTTTCATTTCCACTCTGAAATCGCACCTTTGGGAGGATCATACAATAGATGTTTCTAATGCATGGTGTACCATTAACGGAAAAAGTTCGTAAGTCACTAATAGTACCGCTGCGATCGCCGGCGTATAACGAGCTCGCCTTCTTCTGATGAGGAGTAGAGAATTTTCGGCTCACCCTTGGCATACCTCTTTCAGGTAAGGCAATTCATCATTACTGACCACAAAGGTTTCGAATAATCAACCACCGGAATTCGATAGTTAAATTAGTTGACAATTAGTTTTCACACAAGACAGGGGACTCATTCTCAGTACAATCATACAACAATGCAAATGACATTCTATGTTTAGCGATACCATGATTACATCATCTGTATGTGATTTACTATCTCTTTTCATCTGCGGTAAAATGATTAGCCACTGAGGGTTCAACTATTCCGTTTTTTCGAGTTTACTCGCTGTATACTTCTGCGATATATGCATGTTAATCGGAAGTCTCCCTTGAGCTATACCTATTGAAGTTTTGGTCGAGAAACAGCACCACTATGAACGATTATTAGTTCCTTTTCATTACTTCCTTATTTTGCAGATAATCATTCATTAGCAAAGAATCCCAGAAGCTAATGGTTGGTAAAAGGGGTAGCATAACCTCCCACCCTGAGTCCTTCGAAATAATGGGAAGGAAAAAGGAATATACTGATGGGTGCTACAAGGGGAGATGGAAGGCGAGAACCATTGGACTCGCTACACCATCAGTGGAGCCTAAGCGTTCTACTCGGAACCCGCGATCGCCCAAAGCTGGTGAAAGGAACTGATAACATTCGATAAAGCTTTTCAGAAAGTTCTTTACCATTTGATAACCGTTACCAATTTTTATTACGAGAACCGTTACGCCTTTTATGTTTGAGATGAGACCTCGAGATCCGGGTACTGTGAAGATATCAAAAGGAATGAAGATGAAGGATGATCGATAAATATTTCAGCAGTACTCAGGGTCACTAAAATTCAATAAAGGATCAAGTTTCTGGGCGTTAATCAATTCTCCACATTCGCCTTCCATTCAGAATCGTGGCGTATTGAATGCATATGTGGCCTATTCAATGACTTGCGGTGGCCAGCCGATTACAAGTCATGCTTTCTTCCCCAGACGGATCTGGTACCAATTAACCGATCCAGGAGGGATGGAAGGCCTGGTCGACCTAGGCAAACATCGGGCCGGGATTAGAACCCATGGCCATGCATGCATGATAGGGCACCGTTTGACACTACACCACCTTCGCCCGCTAAAGGTCAGTACTACACAGTACTAGACCATGCGATACTAGACCGTTACAAGAATAGTGATTTATAAGCACGCCAAGTCTTTGACTGCACTCGAAAGCGCACTTGTGCTGCCCGGCTTATAATGCACCACGTTGAAGAGCACGGTGCCCGAAAAGTACAAGCACGTGTTTAATCCCGCACGAAACTAAGCGTCTTGCTCGTAATTTGACATCCTTTCGAGACTCACGACGAATAGTTCACACCCATAGATACGAGGGGTCATGGATGTGCTTTAGTGTTCACACTGCTGCTACCGCTCGTCAACAACATAATAAATAGCGGTTCCGCTACATCAGAAAAGCTGTTGCTTAAGAAGCGCGAGTAGATCTCCGGAAGATGATTACTGTTCAGGGTGATCCAGAGCACTAGGCGAGACATCAGAGTGAGTGAGAAGCTTTAACCTACGTCCTTTAGCATTCCCACATCGAATTTTTGTGACTGAAAAGTTGAGGGCTAGTCGGACATTTCCCGTCAAAAGAGGGAACCTTAAAGTAAGCAGGGGTTAGCCCATGATATGAAATATTCTAGGCTTATAGCGCTGAACTGACTGATGCCCAATAACACCGGCTGGAGTGATTTTTAATAGACGTTTCTGATAGCGCTCCAAGTGCCGAGCACGTCATGACGAAGACACCCCTGAGGAGACCCAATCAGGGGATGATTGTGTTAGGCTTCGTAAAGATTTCAGAGTCAAAGTGCTAAGAACATAGAACAGCATAGAACACTTACGACAAGACAGGAAGCTTGAAAGAGGAGTCGAGGAGTCCTCTACAACCTCACTTCAAAAGTACATGTTATCCGACGTAATACCGATGGGCCCTACGACCATACCCTGATACCATGTACAACTACTTTCCCATTACATGAGATTCTGCTGAGCTCTCAAAACTGCTAAAACTCTTCACATTGCCAAAAGCTTCTATAAATCCCTTCAAAAATGATCTTGAACATTCGAGAAGAAAATTCGTGATTAGTCTTGAAAAAACCCCCACACAGCATATGCTCAATACGTATCAGCACTTTCACTTAGGATCATTGATCAGTGAAGTATCTAAGCGCTCTAAGTCATACCAAACAAGTGAGTTGAGCAGCACTGGGTACCTTCCAGCAGCGAGGCGTCGCATCTTCGTTAGCCCACAAAGGACTGTCGATGCTGAAAACGTATGACAGGATATTTCCTCGAGGAAAGTATGGCACAACCGCCCTTGAGATTACTAGGATTAGTCATAGAGCGACTCAAAAATTACCTACCAAAGGAGCCTTTCGTTGAAACTGAACTCACTTTTCACTGAGGCAGAAAACGAGAGCCATTATCAGGTCACTTTGAGAAGAGAACAACGTATTGCTATTGAGAAGCATGCTCCGATACTCTTCAGCAGCTACTTTAGCGAATGTAGGTGATGCACCACGCGCAGCGACTACATCGCAGAACGACATTGCAGGAGTTTTGAGTTCGTAATCATCCGACCCAGAGCGACCCAACTGATGCTTCAGTAGCATTCCAGACACATGGGCCAAGGTGGCTTGGTCTGCATACAGAAGAGAGATGTTGATGATCGTCTGAAGCTTCGTTTCGAACTTGACGCAAATAGAATATCTGGATTTTCAGCGACCCACCTGTCTGGCATGTCGACATAGTGCAGGACGGAGAGAATCAAGGGAGAGCACAGCTGCATGAAGCAGTCGCGGAGTGGCTTCCGTCCAATCCACGTCGGATGATGCTCGTATTATATCGCATATCAAAAGCAATGATACCTGGCTTCTGTAACTACTCACAATGAATATCAAAGAGTCGAAATTCGAGATTTTAAGTGTTTGTGAAGCTAGAAAAAGTGAACTCCATCAGATTGTCCAACCTGGTGAAAAACTGGACAGGCTGAGTAGTAGGTGGGAGATATGTGCAAAGCCTCGAGTAATATCCTCCGTAAGCAGGCATCGGAAGGAGCCGAACGCCTTCTTTGCTAGCATCTTCAGAAGCGCTAGCCAACCGATCACCAATAGGAGAGTCCCTCACAGGTGAAACGATTTCCACAATGGAATCCTAGAATAGTAAATTTCCAAACGATTTTGCAAAAAAAAAAAAGTTGATAAATTCACAACCCGACCTTTTTTGTCTCAGCGTCATCTTTCCAGCGATAATAGGGAGGAATATCGGATCTTTCAAGGGTATGTCGATTACTATCCACAGATGTTGACAACTGCTCCAGTAGTAGAGCAGCAATGCGATTTCCAACCACTCCAGCTAATATGACACTTACTCGTTTGGCCTAAGATAATAATAGTTGAACACAAACATTGATGGCGTACTCAACCACCACAAAACTTGAAATAATCAGTGATGAAAACTAAACTTACGTAAGGTAGAAGTGCCTCATGTGACAGAACCGTAACCACGTAAAGGTAGTTGAGAATCACTGGTAAGTTGGCAGGAAATGATAAAGCAAGCACGCGCCAAAGCTCGGCCAACTCAAGCTCATGATCAGGAGCCAAACATATTGTTAGGTACATGAGATTATTGAGAAGCAGTTGTGTTGCCTCCTCTGATCCCCACCCGCGAGGACCTTAAGGAAGATGTCATAGACTTCAAGAATTAATCAGAGATTACATCAATCCGAGTTCTTCCCGTGTCGCAGGACTATTCGTTGATCTGAAAGCTTACCCTCACATGCGTCTTCACCAGCCATAGGATCAACAAGCTCAATATTTTCTACCCATGCATGCAATAAAGATATTAAGTAGGTTCTGTTCTGACTGCGAGCTCCTTCCAAACGACTTGAAACTTCTGGAAAAGAGAGTTTAAAAAATCCGAAAGGAAACCAAAGAATGAAGATGGCTCATAAAAGAAAAGCATATACTCTCCACAGAAAAACCTCAAAATAATAGCAATTCCGTGATATGTTTCAAGGAGTGAGGCCTACTGTCTAAAATTATAAAATTACCGCTGAATATGGTGATGGTTAAGTGTGGATAAGAGTTTGCGAGATTCTGGCACACAGCCTGTTGATCCATCGGTAGGCAGTGACTTTGAGTGTCGGGAACAATTGCAGGTCTTAGCTGGACTGGTGGCGTTACTGTGATGTTATTGTTAGCTGAGACTCCTTGTGATGGTGTCGCCAGGCTACTGAAAATCAACCGCTCAACCAAAGTTTAATACAATAGCGAATCAAATCTTACTTGTCGAGGAACTGTCTCTTGAGGATTTCGATCATATGCACAGCAGCATCGGTTACAGCAGGATCGCCGAGCATAGCTTGACAAAGAACGAACAACGAAATGAATTCGCATGGAAAATCCCTCCTCGAGAAAACACGGACAAGAGCCCGGAAGCATCTGGCCGCCACTATACTCGGTTGCGAATAGCACTGGGACATCAGCCAATCTAGCAAATGACTTGATTCGTTCAACTCCAACATCCACGCCAACATTTCCTCAACTTCTCCTTGCATCTGAAGAACAACGGCCCATAGATTGCCTCGGAAACATGGCCGCAACATAAGATGTGTGAGCAACATGAATGGAAGACCAGTAAAAAAATATTGAAGGGCGTTCTCACCGTTGTGTTCGCGCTTGAAACAAGTTTTTCCAGCCAACCATAAAGGTAGCCATCTTCACCGATAGATTTTTGTGTTTCAAATATTCGTCCGCAACTTAGCAGACGGGTCATTGCTAAAGCTGCTTTCTGTTCCACATATGATCCAACCTAAATAGAAAAAACTTACAAGACTACAGTGAATAAAAACTCTTTTGCTTTTTAAATTTCATGACGAAAACAGCAGAAAAAGGTTTGAAATTGATAAAAAGAATATACGCAAATGTACAAAAACCTACATCATTTTCACGGCACTTCTTGTCAGCAGCAATTGTACGACTGCACCACCCAATGAAAAGATAAAATAGGCTTTGCTTCTTTTCGTCAGGAATGAGGTTTCCTCTATTCTCAGGACTGACATTATCTATGAGAACCACAATGAGCTTCGAAAAATGGAGGCGCATCATTGTCACCACTGCAATGTCACGATCCTAAATGAGTTAACTTCAATTGTGGTAACCCTGAAAACATTTATACAAACTAGCAGACCAAATCGCTCTCGAGATTGGCCCTCATTGCGTCGATGAAGTCCAAGATCAAAGGGCTCAAGCTGCCATTCATATCTATCAATGTTGAATCAAGAAGTCCGCGAAATATAGCAATCTAAACCGAAGAGTATCTCCGAAGGATCAGCAAAATTCTAACAATAAAAGAGAACCTCGATAATGCGAATAATCTGAAGCCTTAGAAGATCTTTTCGTTTGCGACGCCGCACATTTGTTTCCATCTAGAAAACAAAGAGCCAGCATAAACAGTAATAATCATTGAAGCATCACTGCAGCTTCAAAAGATTATTGAGTGACTCACCTTCTTCTCCATCGCATCTCTCAATATACCCCGTTGATTGAGATCCTCAAGAAAGGTCTCGAAGGCCACCGCATTCAGAGATCCAATTCCTGAAAACAGTGACGTAGAGGTTAATCCACATTGACTCGTCTACGAAAAGCCAAAAAGGTAACAAGCTGAAAGCGATAAGTACGTTGTCGCAGTGATCTTTCGAATGAACCCGCTATCACTCAAACGCGGCGCAGTTTCGACTTTCCAAATAAAGCTTATAATGACTCCGATTAAATACAGGAAGGTGACATCAATTATGCAATTTCCCTTTGACAAACGAGTTTTTTCCTTCATTCATTTGCACTGCAGCTAAGTTCGCTAAACAATTATGGTGCATCGTTGGAGGCCGTTCCGGAGTTCGTTTGATGTCTCGAGGGATCCAGTCAGTAACCGCCCTGGTCCAACGGTCATTACTATATCGCATAACGTGAAGTCCTCTGGTTACAAAACAGATCGAGTAGACAAAACTTGCCTACACCACTACTTACAGGTAGCCTTAGGGGCCCTACTCCTTCGACATTTGGCGACTTGGACCAACATCACTGACAATAACTATCGACATTGTTGCTTCAGATCAATATGCTGCAAGTGTATTCCTAATCACATTGCACAGACTCGAAACTGGGTGGAAAGTAAGCCTGCAGATATTCTCAGGGTAGGTAAAGTTACACGCAATGTTGCTGCGATATAACCCTTGCTTATTCTTGTTGTTTTTTTTTGTTGGTTTCTCATCTAGTCGTCTAGCTCGTTTTCCAGTACCTTGTTGATCAGGACTACCGACCAGCGGCGCATTACAGGTATCATTTACAGCCTATGCGACAACTAGAGATTTCCTCTGATCAAATACCAGTCTTCTCCATTTGCGGTCATCTTCTACATTAACAACGCATGCTATGATATGCTACTACATCCCCTCTTCAAAGTACAGAAACCTTTTTTTTTTCTGTGTTCTGCAATTTTTCGCTGTTTGATGTTATACATACCCTCGACGTTCATCTTCCCACTCGGTCAATGGTCTGAAGAGCACCACCGAGCCAGCTGTAAAATCCGATTTAGGTCAGTGGCTGCTTTCACAGTCCGCCGGCCCGCGAGCAGGCCAAATAGTCCCCCACCCGGCGGACTATGAAAGCAGCCAGTGAGTGCTCCAGCATCTTTCCAGGGGCTGCGGCCTATGGCATGGCTGTTCTAGTGGTTGCTAGCAAGCTTGTCCCAAAATTGTTTTCCTCTTTGGAATTCCGTTCCAGGATTCCTTATTATATTTTTAGCCTGCTTTTCTTTGTAAGAACCAGCGCCAGCTTTCTTCTCGTTGTGAAGGGAATCTTTCTACCCTTTGCTCGACAAAATTTGCTTTAGATGAATATGGTGAGACTCCTTATAGACCATTATGGAATCAAGTTAAGACTTGATTTGAGTACGTTAGTCGAAAAGTTTTCAATAAACAGTTGACATAATGAAATAAGCGCACAATTATTTGAACAAGACTTCTTCTCTGGAGGCAACAACCAAACTCTGGTGGAATAATCAATTCCAAAAAACTCAGGATTCGCTGGACGATCGGATAACGAAAGAGCTGCTTGAAATAATTCTTCACAAAGCAATTGGTACGCCTCTGGTTGATTTATTGCAATAGAAGAGAAAGATTGGATTTGGTTAATTTCCAACAACTCAACCTCTCCAGCTTGGAATTCAACTTACACTATAACTATTCTCGAAGAACGTGCCGTTTGTAGTCATATAAATAACTTTCGAAAAAACACGGTATTATACGGATCTACGGTAAGGAAAAGTCATCTAAGGGAAAAATTCGGTTTAAAAGAAAGAACCGAAACTACCTGTGAAAAAATCAATACAATGACTAACCAAGAACTACGCTATCGCGAATATCGATCATATTTTCCCATCTCAGCATCGCTGCAGTCTTAGTGAACAACTGAGCAAGCGTGGCTGTAGAGGAAATACGTGAGGCAGACCGCAATGATGATGATACGCTTCTCAACACGTCCGTTTCCATTCTTGAATTGAGCACCATTTGTCTTCTTCATAATCAGTCAAACAAATAACGAAGAACTCACGACGATGTAGGACTGAAGCTTCTCGATATCAAGCTATTGTGGTTATGGGGTGATGGCGAAAATGCACAGCATAGCACTAAGTACTTCTGCCATAACGAAAGGCATCCATCCTGACTCAAGGCCTCACCACATACCGACGATCCTTTACTCTTGCTCCCGCGGAGTAAAGAAGCTCGATTTTCATTCTGCGGATTGCTGAAAGGGAATTTGCAGTTTATAAGAAGAGATGGTTTCAAATTACGCAAACGCAGATCGTAAACGGTGAGCTAACTTAAGAAAGGTTAACGGAGAATATCATCTGCACGTTGTATAATCACCAACTGGACTCCTCACACTAATGCGTGCGCCAGAGATGAATTTTTTAGTCTTAATTCCACCCCTCAAAGATTTAGCTATAGGCTGAGTTGGGTTATGAAATATTAAAAGAGTTCGGGAACGCTAAGCTACGCCACGGACGATTCTACTTGATCTGTATGTTGACCTGTTTCCAACCTTTGCCCGTTTTTCTCAATGTCCTGGCTATGTTGCCCTGTTTCTAACCTTTGCCCGTTTTTCTCAATAACTTGGCTTTTTGGAGCAAAATTATGAAGTTCGTCCTATTTGCACCGCCCATTTTGATAAATGTTCGGTTCCTTGGAAGCGGGAATTCCCTAGCTCATATGTACTCTGTTGATTGTGCCCGAGATACC